GCAGCAGCAGCAGCAGCAGCAGCAGCAGCAGCAGCAGCAGAGGAGAATACAGCAGCAAAAACAGCAGCACGTCCAGCTGGAACAAGGTCTTAAGAGTTTATAAATATCTTCTTTTGGCGTTGCTTCGGTTGCTGCTGCTGCTGTTCTTGCTGCTGCTGCCCCACCACTGCCACTGCCACTACTGCTGCTGCTGCTGCTGCTGCTGCTGCTGCTGCTGCTGCTGCTGCTGCTGTGGTGCAGGACGTTGTGTGATGCAGGCCCACAAGGCCCCCACGACCCGGCTGTCTCCTTTCAGTACCCCAGCGAGGAAAACATACTCGTGAGCTCATGCTGCTGCTGCTGCTGCCGCTGCTGCTGTTGCTGCTGCTGCTGCTGCTGCTGCTGCTGGTGCTGCTGCTGCTGCTGCTGCTGCTGCTGCTGCTGCTGCTGCTGCTGGTGCTGCTGCTGCTGCTGCTGGTGCTGTTGGTAGTTCTCGCCACTGTGCGTGGCAAAGTGTATTGAGGCCCCCGCAGCAGCAGCAGCAGCAGCAGCTTAGCTGCTGCTGCTGCCTGAACATTGATATTTCTGATAGCTGCACTCTGGTGTAGTTGCTGCTACAGCAGCTGCTGCAGTTGCTGCTGCAGTCTTTGCTGCAGCAGCTGCTGCAGTCTTTGCTGCAGCGGCTGCTGCAGTTGCCGCTGCAGTCTTTGCTGCAGCAGCTGCTGCAGCTGCTGTTATTTTGCTGCTGCTAGAGGGGCAGCAAGGAGGCGCCATTGCTGCTGCAGCGTTTGCAGCACGTGCAAAAACAGCAGCAGCAGCAGCAGCAGCTGCTGCAGCAGCAGCAACATCTGCAGCAGCAGCAGCAGCAGCAGCAGGAGGAGTATCTGCTGCTTGTCTGTGTTGTTGCTGCTGTGTTTTCGTGCAGCAAGGGCTGCAGTGGCTAGCAGAAGAAGCAGCAGCAGGCGATGTGCTGCTGTTTGTCTTTTCGGGCTGCAGCAGCGTTCTTATGGCTGCTGAGCATCACGAGGGCCCCCCAGCTGTACGTACACCCCAATTCTATCTGTCTCCTTTTTCTGTCTCCTTTTGTCTCCTTTATATATTCCTTCTGCTGCTTTTGTGCTTGTATCTGGATCCTCTGCTGCTGCTGCTGCTGCAGTTGCTGCAATTGCTGCTGCTGCTGCTGCTGCTGCTGCTTGTTTTCGTAGATGTGCTGCTGGATCCAATCGGGTACTAATCTTCTGTCTCTGCTGCTGCTGCTGCTGCTGCTGCTATCCTCCTGCTGCTGCTGCTGCTGCTGCTGCTGCTGC